GTTGTTAAGTTTAAGGTGACTGTGGAAATTCTGTGTATTACAAAGGTGTATCGAGAAAGAACTAATTTTAATTAAGAAAGGACTTATATCAGTTGAATTTCCTCAGAAAGAATTTATACCGGAAATTAACAAACCAGCAGATACGCAACAATATACATTTCGATCCTTAAGGTGTGTGTGATGGGGAAATCTAAATCTACAAACGGGCGGCCGAAGGGCACCAAACGGCCCTGGCTGTAAAACTCCCGGTTCGTTTCACCTGCCCGGCAAGGCCAGGTGAAACGGACGCTCGACTCGCAATCTGGGGGTCGCGGGTTCGCATCCCCATCCCACCAAAACATGCTCGCCCTTTCAGCCGTGGGGGCATTATAAAGTAACGGTCAATCCCACTATTCGTTGGTAAAAGAGTAGCCCAAGACTTGGCGGTGGGTGGTGATGACTAGCTGCCTTCCCTCTAGTCTTACACTGCTAAATTAGGGACGGCTAGCGCAGATAGCCCTCGTGTAGCTTTACGCAAAATTCAAAACAAACAATCGTTTCACCTCCGTGTCCGATAATGAATTCACGCCAGCACAAACTGGAAAATTTTAACAGAATCGCAAGTGTTACGTTTTACACAGATGTATTTTTCCATGTATTTACTTTTAAGTTTTATATTTACACAGCTCTTCCTTTTTCTCTTTATGTCCAGGAAGTTTGGTGTTCCCGCATCTTTAGTCATAGCTTATGTCCCTAATATAACATATACCACTGTTTATGTTATATAAAAACCTAAATGAACATTAGGCCTACATGTTTAATTGATTTCACGTTTAATTTACTGAATGTCGACCCTTAGGAATATCGGGCAGTAACCGTTTTCCTGATCGCGCGTAGTGAGTGTCATCTTATGTTATCGCTAATATTAGTTCCGCGGCTTCAGTTAGACACATTGATTCACTCATTCAGTAAATTGTAAGACCGATTTAGTATTCCTGCATTGCTCAGTTTTAGAAACTTTATGTCACTGAGAGGTATTGTAATGATAAAACTGGCTCTGCTTAATGATACTATTTTTAATCTGCTAAAATAAGAGATAAAAGCGTCATGTAATGCTTTAATACGGGTCAGGGAATTTTCTATTAAAAATAATGGACGTGCTTTGTAATAAGGAACCATTTGCAACCTTAACTAAGCCTTTCCACTGAGCCTCTGGGGTCCGTTTAATGATGGTGTACCGGATATTGAAAATTAAATAGTTACATACTGTATTAAGTAGTGTGCGATTATTACTCTATCATCTATGGTATCACAAGCAAAAATACCCGTCCCCAGTGACGGAAAAAGTTTAAGTTAATCTATCAGTTTAAATTATTTCACGGACTTTAAAAATGTTAACTGTGTTGCACTCTTGGTTTCACTCAGAGCCAAAACTCTGAGCTACTTTCAGACTGGATGTTTTTCTGAGAAAAGTGAATGGAAAAGACATGAAGGGTAATTTTTGGTTCTCAAACTGAATTTTGAGTTTTTGGCCTTGGAACTTGCAAAAAACAAAATGGCCGCTGCACACTGCTAAATGTATTTGAAATGCAATTGCAAGAGGCATTTATTGGGAGAGGGAGGAGTGAATCAAGGAAACTTACAATTTTTCTGGAAGTGCTGAATCAAAGATTTTCTTAGTATGTGACCAGAATTTGGAGTTTTAAATTATTAATTTATCAAAAATGATTTTCCAAAGCAGCGTCTGAGTTGCCATTCTCAGTTACTTCTCTGCTGTCTTTCAAAAAGTTGAAGCTAAGGATATTAGACAATAAAAGTTGTTAGCATAGGTATTAACCACAATTAGGATTTGCCAAATCTACAAATTGAATCATTATTGAAAAATTTTGAATTTCTGTAGTACTCTTGCCGAGAAGAAAATAACTACTCATTTGTATATATATAGCATATTTAGTGATTCATCTGCAAAAACAAACCCTTCTTTTTTAAAAAAAAATTAAAATGCACTCCTTGCAGAATCCTAACATGAAGTGAGTGTTATGCTGGTTGAAATGTGAAATGGCTGAAAATGAAGACGTAATTACAGATGTAATACTATTACAAATGGAAACTCTCTACCCTTGAAACGTGTATTTTAGTGGATCAGTATCCAGCCCATATCCCTAACAGTGCTCATGACAGACTCAATTGCATCTGATACTGATTTTAACCATACCAGGGATATATTACTTGCTGCACTGGAAACACTGAATATTGACAGATGGCTTATGTTTATTCATAATGTGTGTGTGTATGTCTGCTCTAGAAGAAGACAGTATGGAAAATGAAGAAGATATTGTTCAGAGAAAAGTGCTGGATGTAGCACAGGATTTGGTCTAAGGGGTAAGTCGTGGGAAAAAATGGATTCCAAAACACATAGGCCTGGCTTGTATGCTACATCAAGCTACACTGTCCAAAGATCTTGACCATTTGTTATACAAAGAAGGACACTGTCTCAGTTATGAACAGGTGTTACAAGAGGATACTGCTTTAGCAGAAAGCACCCTGAAGTCAATGGATCCAGAAACTGGTGCTGTCATACCACCAAACATTGTGGACAATAAATTTATTCACTATACTGCTGCGAATATTGATATTCTCGATGAGACAATCGCTGGGAAGAACACTTTCCATGCAACCCAGATGGTGGTATGGCCACGAGGACAAACAACAGATGCTATACAGAATTACTCTTGAGCCAACCTCCAGACGTACCTTGACTGTGCCACATGTCTTAAATAAACTAAATTCTGCCAGTGTAAGCTCCAGTTGACCAGAACTGGTTCAAGTCACCTGTAGAGGACCCCGAGTGTGTAAAACAAGCCAGAGCACTGACTTAGCTTTCTTTTTATGTCGTCAAAAATCTGCATACAAAATGGTTGGACAGTTTTTAATCAGTATGTCTCATCAGAAGATCCAGAACTGATATCAGCTGAATATTTGCCAATAATTCTTTCTCCCACTCATGAGCCAGACACATTGAACACAGTTGTAAGGAGATGCATGGCAATCTCTTTATATCTGGAACAAGATTATACAGTCATTACAGTAGACCAAGCACCCTACTGTAAACTGGTGGAATTGAAGTAGTCTATTCAAGAATACCAGAGTAAACTGATTCTATGCCTTGGTGGTCTCCACATTGCAATGAACTTTTTGAAGGCCATAGGATATCATATGAATAGGTGTGGATGGAGAGTGGATTACTTAGGTAGGGTATAGTGGAACTGGTCTTAGCTGTCAAGGCTTATAACAAAGCAATGAGGGCTCACAAACTCACTTTACAAGCATTATGGTGAATTCTGATGCCAAGTTTTCTCTCCTTCTGTGTCAAATGTGACAAGGAATGCCATATCATTGATGGCTTCCACTGAAAATCCTGAAAAGATTCCGGAGTTGATATCAGTCCTGAAGTAGGAAAGATTTCAGAAAATTCTCAATGATTTTGCTAAGAGTAAATACACAGCTGTAAATTTAACTTTCTGGTGGAATTTGATGGATATGATCTGGGTATTGTTACTATTCATTCGTGCTCAGCATGGTGGGATCTGGGACCTTCATCACCATACCTTCAATTTGATGTTGCCATATATCATGTAGTATGGCCACCTTAATTATGCCAGGTGGTGTCCTGTTTACTTTACCAAAATGCATCAACTTCCTGAGCCTGTATTATTTGAGTTAAAAAAAGAAAACTTTGTCATCAAGCATTCAACTCAAAAGTTTAACCAGGTATACAGAGATTAAGCTCAAGAGTGGATAAATGGCACTGGCAAGAAAGGCAGTGGAATTGTGGGTATCACAAAGACAACATCCACGCTTTACAGATGGTCACTGTCATACAACTTGAGGTCCCACATATCCAATGGCATCAATGAGATGTACAATCTTTGCCCTGGTATTACACATCTTCACAATAAGGCTACGAAACCTTGACAAAGACATGACCAAGATGATGAGTATACACAACTGAAAACCTTCAGGAGATTAAATGTATTCTCACTAGACTCACATACTGATTTGTTGCAGAACGTTGCTATGAAAGACCTAGCATCAGAGGCAATCCAGAACTTCTTAGTTCGTTGTAAAAATCTTGACCAAGGAGAAATCGTTAAATTTGTCCAGAAATAATTACTTGAAGCTGACCAGGGTGACAAGCCTGAAGCATCAATAAATGCACCATTGCATAGGAATAATTCTCCAATATTTGCAACACTGTACACTTTGGTCAAAGACAGTAAAGAAAAATATAAAAAAACTATCTTGAAAGCAGACAGAAACGTTCTTTAACATCTTATTACTGCTTATGAGACAGGTTGTCCAGTTGATTTGCCTGCCATACTGAAACATGAGTTTATGCCAGTCCCTGTCTCCCTTGAAGAAATGGATGGCTCACTTAGCACAGGGAACAAAGCGTTATGAAAATACATACTGACAGAAAGCATTGCCTGTCCCGAATCTATTGACCTGCAAAATCAGCCATCATGTCTTGTCATAGATGGACCAGCACTGGTGGTTGTCCTAGTAAAACCTGCCAATGCTTTGACTTTTGGTGATCTGGCTGACACATTTGTCAGATCAATATTACAGACTGGCTCCAGTTACCAAAGGATAAATGTAGTCTTTGATCGATATCGTTGTTTGATCGAGATTGTTGTTACTGGAGGTTTTCCTGATGAACAAGAAGTTAGATTATCGAACAGAACAACTTATGTTACTTCTCTGCAATCAACATGTGAAGAAGCTGACACAAAGTTAGTTTTTACATGCCGTACACAGCCAATTAAATACAGTTGTTGTGTCATCAAGAGACACTAATGTACTTCTGGTTTTATGTCTCACTTTCCACTTGCTCAATGCGAAAAACTGTGGATGATGTCAGGAACATCAACAAAAAGGCAGTACATAACCATTGATGCAGTGTTCAACAACTTGTCAAGAAATTCAGCAATAGCTTTGTTAACTTTCCACGCATTAACTTAGTGTGACACTACTTCCTATATAGCAAATCACGCTAAGCAATCATCTTGGAAGGTGTTCCGAGAGTACCATAAATTACTTGATGGTTTGGGCATTGGTGAACTAATATCAGCAGAGAAGTTTTTATGAAGAGTATATTATGTGCACCAAACAGATTCTATAGATGCAGCAGGCATATATTATTCTCAAACACAGTGATGCCCTCCTCTTTCATCTTATGCAGTGCATTATGAATATTGTTGCGTCAGCGAGGTCACGTGACTAGTGTCACGCCACCTATTTTCTAGAAATATCCTGTTCCTTCGTGAATGCCCTAGCATTTACTAGATATATGTTAGTCTGGTACATATATAAGACGCTCACAACGTGACGGGAAAATGTGTGTAGGTAGTGAGTAATTGAACTGCAGTCAGAAAGTATTGTTGAAGTTCATTGTTATAGCGTTTCTTATAGAGCGACTATTGAAAATAAGTGTATCGTAAAGTTATATTCGGAAAGAATAAACCAGTTTTATTAAGAAAGGACTTGTGTCACTAAAGTTTCGTGGGAACGAAGTTACGGAAAATCAACTAACGAACGAAGACGTAACAATATCTAATTTGGTTTAACTAAGATGTGTGATTCCGGGAGACGTTACTGATTTCATTGCTATGACCAATTTTTGAGTCTATCTATGACTGTAGAGAAATGTATCGCCAAAGTGAATATGACTGCCAAGTAAGCATTATGATGTAGATTGCAACTACAATTCATGACTTTCTGTTATTGTACTGTTTCCTAATGGCGCTTATTTAATTTTGTCATAAGTAGTATGTTTTGATGAAATAAAAAGGTGAACTTAAAATGTGCATTGTGAATACCAAGCCTGAATTAAACCTACTTTCACCAGTTCACTCTCTGCCTATTACATCTTAATGGTATAATTACTTGAAATTAGAATATTAATTTCATTACCCAAAGCAATCTTTCCATATTTTTATCCTCACTTGTTTTTATTACAAATTCTAGAGTCGTTCAGCAATAACATACAGTAAATCTACATTTTCATTCTTTAAGTTACGTCACATTTTGAAATGTGAATAATAGTGTAATTAATTTTTCAGAATTTAGTATAGAATATCTTGTTTGTGAAAAAAAAAATTGCCATCAACATTATTCACGCGTGTTCTCCCGTCATTTCAAAATTGAATATTGAGCTTCGTTCGACATAAGGCTTTAATGGGCGATCTGGGAGGGTCAGGTTCAGTTTGACCTCTTCCTTCATGAATGTTGAGCTTTGCCTGCGTGCGCAGCTTTTCAAACGCAGCGCTAAGCGGCCGCCGTAAAAGAGAGACAGACAAACGCTGAGACAGACACCACGGTTCGCAATACATATAAGATTTTAAAGTTTGTAGTCGAGTAATTCCAACACGTCAAATAAATTAAGAAACACGAAGCTCAACCGAATACGCGCGGGGTTGAAGGGGAACAAACGTTCCCGAGCACCCCAGTTGGGAAGAGAGAACTTCCTTCAAACTAAACCCCTGCCACGATTAGTTTTTTTTCTTTTTTTATTCCAAGCTGAGCCACGATAGCCGGTTAGGATATAAAACTAATCTATATGGTATCCTATTTATTAGAGTACAAATAACTAAATGTGCCTACCTGGATTTTATTTGTATCACCACCAACGTTACGCATATACTTTCTCTGGCACGGCGTATAAAACTTTGAATACAAAACCAGAAACAATTTCAAAACAAAACTAGAATTACCAGACGCGTATTTCGAAACCAAAACCATAACTGATTGTGTTATGGTATTCCCATTTTAAATTTACGAATTTGAGTTTCAAATAAATAAAAGTAAATTTTAAGAACGACACAATACAAATTTCTTAATTAACGAATTTTTTTCTAAAACATTTTTTAAACATGCTTTTTTCACATTAACGTCTCAAACGATTTATACTTCAGAATAACTCAAAGCTATATAGTAAATACTGCAATACATTTATATTCTATATTTTTTTCAAACAATGCACATTATTACATTGAAACGTTTGTAGTTTAATTCTGTCATTCAGTAGGTTGAGTAGACTGAACAACCTATTAAAAAACACAAAAGTATATAAAGCGCAGAATCAAATGAATTAAAAATAACACAAAAGTAAAAGAATTACTCGAATATTTAATACATTTCTGAACTTCAAGATAAGCTATTCAGCAAGATTATAAAGACGTCTTTATACTCTGTCAAAGTATTTTCAAAAATAACGGTTGACAAAGTAGCATAGACTTTTAATGACGTTTTTCTCATACTGTTGTATTTTGTTTTTCAAATATTGAATCCTATAATTAATAGTTGCTGCTTTAAGACCTCGAGACAGTTTATTTGTTATTGTTTTGTTATGAATTTCGCACAAAGCTACACGAGGGCTATCTGCGCTAGCCGTCCCTAATTTCGCAGTGTAAGACTAGAGGGGAGGCAGCTAGTCATCACCACCCACAGCCAACTCTTGGGCTACTCTTTTATCAACGAATAGGGGATTGACTGCAACATTATAACTTCCCCACGGCTGAAAGGGCGAGATGTTTGGTGTGACAGGGATTCGCAGATTGCTAGTCGAGCGCCCTAACCACCTGGCCATGCCGAGCCCACGTGGCAGTTTAAATTACAACGAATAATTTTCAAATAATTTCACCATCCTGGCTACGACTATTATTGAAATTACAATTGTGAAAATTGAAAATGTAAGCAACGATTTTTAGCTGCTACTACAGAACAAAATGAACTTGTTGGAGTGCCTCAACTTATAACATAAGTAGAAGACGAAAAAAAAGAAAGAAAAGAAAAGAAAAATATGATTGTAAGCAGCATTGTTATGTCTACATTAGTTTGATCATAAAGAATATGAGTTTTCAGACTTCAGCACACTTTTGGATTACTTCTTTAATATTTTGAGACGATAACATCTAAGAGAAGATTATTCATAAAACATAAACATAAACTGTGAAAAAACAGTAGATCTTCACTTCTATAACTAAGCGAAAAACATTTAGAATTTTTGATAATATTTTGCAATGGATTTACCATAAAAAAATAATATTTATTCATACAGACTGATCTCCATTTGAAGTGCATCACAGAAGCAATGGCACAGGGCAGATGCTGGTAGAATCTTCATGTCGGTGATAACTTCATCTGACCATAAACTAACACTAACAAACCATATAAAAGAAGATCATTACTGGATTGGGCAAAGGAAAATGCCAATATTTATATGTCCTACAAAAGAAAAGACTAGTTACATATCTATAACAGCATGGTCCTATTTACATTGAGGTTTTCTTTAAAGCGTTATAATCGGGCTACATACATTGTGAAAACGATGTGATCCATGTGGATTTATGAAAAAAAAAATGGGGTCAGGATTATTCTGAAAATGACCTGTGTGAAGGTATGTTTAACAAAGGTTCTATTTTATATTATGATATTTTTTACCTGTGTGATGGTGTGTTTAGAAAGGTCTTATTTTATGTTATGATATTCTTTAACTGTGTGATAGTATATTTAACAAAGGTCCTATTTTATGTTATGTTATTCTTTAACTGTTTGATGGTATGTCTAACAAAGGTCCTATTTTATGTTATGATATTCTGTAACTGTGTGATGGTATGTTTAACAAAGGTCCTATTTTATGTTATGTTATTCTGTAACTGTGTGATGGTATGTCTAACAAAGGTCCTATTTTATGTTATGTTATTCTGTGACTGTATGATGGGATGTTTGACAAAGGTCCTATTTTATGTTATGATAAATACCACTCGTCATTGTTTTTCAAAAATACTGTAATTCTACCATAAGAATGCAACAAAAGCATATTTCAACTTTAAAAGATAATAGAAGTGTGGACTGTGGCAACTCTGTTCTGCATTATATATGGAAAGATGATAGAATAGTGTATATGTTGTTCACTTTGCATTTTTCAAAATCAATTACAGTAAATCATATAAACAAGATGGTTCTATAACTGAATTTTTGTGTAAAGAAGTTATAAAAGGTTACCAACTTTCATGAGATCATGTCACAGACGTTTTTTGCAGCAGTTGGCATTATGCATGTAGCAAATGCGTATTTTATATACAAACCAGTCATACGAAGTACACCTCTTCTATAACGTATTATAAATATTTTCTTATCTCTCCTAATTATAGGAATACTGACTAAACAGATAAATTCTCCTCAACACCTATGTATTTTCAGGTATTTCAAAATCGTGGTTCACATTAGCTAAGATATGTGGAAGCAAGATGAAGGTTTACAAAATGCAGAATGAAAAATGAAACAAATATTATATATATGTATATATTGCAAATTCAAAATATGCTCACTATGGTAATAAACAACTGTTATAAATGTTTTTGGTGAAACTGCTAAATTTATCAGTTATACGAAGTAAAAGTGTATTCCTGATAACATTTCAGAGTATTATGTAAAGATAAAAGTACTCAAGAATTCAATCTATTGAACACTATATTTGGATATTATTATGCTATCATACAAACCAAATATTAATGTTAAATAAACATTACTTGTTTAAATGCCCTCAGAACACAAAGGAATGCTACATAACATGTACCTTTTACTTCACCCTAGTTTTCATGATAAATTATTCAGCAATATCAAGTTATTAAAGTCAATTTCTACATTTTGACCTCATATTCATAACTTCAAAAAGAATAACTGACACATTAAAGTTTCGCAACCGAGCAGCAAAATCGCATGTGTTGCACATGTCTCATGCTCACATCTTCCTCTTTAGTTGTAGTTCTCGAGTTTTTCTGTTGTGTAAGGTATACGTGTGGTATTTTCACATAGCATTGGTTTCCTCTAAGAGAGGATATGTCTCGATAATAACAGGAAGTTCGTCATAATATTTGCTGCAAAGTAATTCTGTGTTCTTTGAATAACTGAGTTCGTGAGAAATTAAGAGTCTAAACACAAATGTACAATAACAATGAATAATATTTATTAATTACACAGTGTTGCGTATTAAAATTTCTAATAGCCTAAAACTGAGTTAAATTCTAATTTAGATTTAGTAGTTAAATAAATGTCGATATGTATCCAATTTATGATATTTGCCAACAAGATTGATATACACACAGTTTCTTTGTTTTATACAAATATGTTTTAATATACAAACAATAATATAATTTACAATAACAATTATTGCAAACAGCTACTAGAAACAATGATTTATATACAAAAGTTCCACAAACTTACAAGCAATACAAAGTCTTCTTTCTAGTCTGGAACTTCCTTGATGTCTTATCGAGGGTTCACGATGATCGAGTTAATTTCGAGTTGATGTAGGTATAATTCACTTAATAGGGAGTAGTTAGCTCTGTAGTTCTCGTTCATCCTTCAAAGCAAAGATACTACATCTACTACTACACACTACACAAACCAGTAAAATACAATTGTATTAAGAAACTAAATGATTGCCTCAGGAATCAATGGACAATAGTAGATTGGTTTGATGGATCTCTAACCTAAGTCATTAAAACAATCAGTTTAAGTACTTACGTGTACCGATATATTTTTCTAAATATGCATGAATTGTTCTGCTCAAAGATTAGAAAGTGTAATCCTGTAAACTTCAGATACATATTGGAATAGAAATGGCTAACTGTCTATTTCAGGATTGTTTGAAGGAAAAAGACATTCACTCCTTTGTCATCTTCAATGAGACGTGAATGTGGCACTATATAATACAACACAGAACTTACAAGTATATCCCTGAAATGAAAATTATGGCTAAGACTTCATTTTCAAGAGAATGCCTTATTATCTTGATCCAACTGTCATTGACACATATTATCATTATCTGGTGGAACACGAATTATGTTATTATGCTGGAAGTTAATGGCATCAAGGTCATAGATCGGAGAATGTATTGAATAATCTGTTTTATTAAGCTATTATTTTTCAAAAACACAAGGAACTGTAACCATGGGAAGACAAACTATTTAGTTTGGCATAAATTTATGATCGGATGTCAGACAAGGAAAAATCTTTTGTTTAGTCTGGAATACGATGAGCAATACAAATATCTCAGAATCTGGCTCAATATGTTAAACAGGCTGTTAACCCTGATAAAAATAAGAGACAGAAAGACTAAGCGTTCAGAATCGCTCAAACCAAGAGATGAAGAACATTCATTCCTGACTTTTTGACATGTAATCACGACTCCCTCTTTCTATATGTAAAAGTCAACAATGCACAAAGTCTGAGCTAGACCTTTTTTCTCTCCCTTCAAAACATAGACCATGATTAGGTAGGGTCAGTGGGCCGAATATTATCCTTTATCTTCTATGGATGACCCATCGGATTTTCTATATTGGGCTTAGGAGGCCAGGCAAAATCATATCTTCATGTAAAAGCAAAAACTGTTAAGCCAGCTGTAGCCAACACAAGAAAACAAAGAAGAAGATATATCTGCTCTTGGCAACCTGTTTCTTTATCCTCTATTTTTTGAAATACATGTATGCCTGAAGGACAAGTTCATCTCTTTGTCTCACAATCGTTACGTGTATAGTCGACATACAAATTTAGTTATAACGGGTAAACTACGAGAAGTCATAAGACTTCATCTATTTGGGTAAAGGAATGGTGGACAGTTTTGATAATCTCGATTTTAATGATGGTGAGAATGATGGAGCCTAAGATCGATATATATAGAAGAGACGCATAGTAGCCAGCCTGTCGACATAATCGGCCGTCTATTTCAGACATCTTTA